GTTGATTGTTTTTTTACTGACGCCCCCTTTAGTTTCAGTTTTTTGTCCAAATGCGTCTTTTTATACCTTTTCTTAGCATTGTATATCAATATTTAAAGTAATTCACGAAATCCAATGTATACATGGTAGCAGTTTTATGACTAAAAAAGATGTTATTGTATATGGTGATACCAAAACTTAAGGAACACTTTTTTAGAACGGTTTTACCATATTTTCTAGCTTACGGTTTAACCCAGACCGGTGCCGCATGCATAACAATCCTTATGTTTCAATAGTAATCCTATCATTCGGCATAGGACTGTATTTACTCATCCTCAACTTCAGTAATAATACTCTAGAATATCAAGATATAACTATCCGATCACTAATATATACACAAGTACATCCCCCTGTTACATATTGTCCTATAGGTACGCTTCTTCGCAGAGAACCAAGTTTGTTATTAGGCTACATTCTAGCCCGTCAAATGATCATAAGGTTATGTAGTTACCTGAAGAGATAGACGACTCGACATTTTCCACAATGAATGACGAACACCACTAGAACTATATTCATTTGTATTAGCTCACCGCATAATACCATTGCTATTATTTGTCTATGCTTACCCGTTTTTTAACCCATTTTCCCACAGTTATTTTGGTTGAGAAACCCCTAACTTTTTTCTGTCATTCATACAACGTGTCGATGCAATTAAACATTTAACCCATTAAATTTTGAACGAGACTAAATTTTTAAAAACACCTTCATCGACCCCTTTTTGGTGAATGGCCTCCTTGGAGTGAAATCTCCACCTATAGCAGACGAACAGCTCAAATTGATTCGCGTAACTAAATTGACTTTGGTGCAATTACGTTTTAGATATTGTAGCACATTTAACTCCTGCTTATTTACTCTAGACCCTGACATACTAAAAATGCACTGCTTGAAATTAAAACAAAAAACACTGTTGGATTTATTTTCGTTTTTTTTTTAATAGCGTACCTTATATACATATTTACAAAAAATTGATATTCTGTGTTATTATACTTAAAACGAAAGCGGTTCTTCGGAAAGTCACACGTGCGTTCGCTGTATCGAAAAGGAAGGCCAGACCGAGACGACGATCCTTTTATTCATGTTGGTGTGATGTGGTGTACAGATGTGATTCTGAATGATCTACAAGAGTGGGGTCATCGTGTGTGGTGTGTTGATGAAGTGAATGTTGTCTGTCCGTGTTGTCCCATATATAGTGTTGTGCTTTGAGGGGTGGCTTAGCTCATTTACTGCCGTCCCATAATAAATAAAAACGTTGAGAGGAGCATTTTTTACCGCTCAGCGTTAACGCCGACGTGGCGTGGCATCCCTAAATAAAAGCGGAAAGTTTACTTCAAATGTCAAAACTGCTCACTTGAAGAAAAATATTATTTGTGAACAAAAATTTTAAAATTATTTATGACTTTGACCTTCTGGAGGACTTACTAGTTTTGAAAGTGATTGCAAGTAGACAACGCAGTGGAAACCAAGAGATTTTAAAAACTGATAAAAAACCATTGATTTCACTCAAGCGGAGTTTATGTATTGATCAAAAATAATCCAGAACTTTTTATGAAATGTACTAGGTTTACTCATAAGCTTTTCAAAGTATTGTTGAATTTGGTTCAGCAATGGCTGCTAAAATAGTCCCGTAGAAATCCCAGAGAGCCAGAGCAGAAATTGTACATAACTTTGCAGTAAGTACGATGAAGTAATTTTACATTATTGTTTATTTTATATAATTCTTAGTTTCTTGGCTCAGCGATCTTCATATGTTATCTATGAAGTTTCGAATTGAGGTATTTTTCGATGTAATAATTTTTCTATTAACTAAGTTTAAAATTTCAATTCCCATATCATCAACTTTACTTTTTGTTAGTTTCCCCAATTTGTTCGTAAGCATGCCCAAGAAATGCTCGTACTTCTCCTTGTTTGAGGGTTGTGGTTCTTCATATTTCCTCGTCATTGCTATTAGAACATCATTAAAGAGACCATCGCTGAAACGTTTACATTTTGGAGTGGTGTGGGACAACTGACTGTCTTCTGACGTTCACTAGTGTCCATTTCAACGTTAGTGGTTGTACTGAAAATTAAAAGTTAACATTTTTCATTAATTTTCATACCTGGTTTCCGTTAGAAACTGCAGGCTCGCCATATGCTTCCAACCCGGTTCGAATTTTTTGTCGGATCTTCGGAGTTTTTCACCTTCCAAAATTTGTCGCGCAGACTCTTCCACTTTACTTTACACTCTTTTGCTAAAAGAAATAATTTATTAGTTACTTCAGCGCTCTGCTTGCTTAACGCCTTTGTATTTTATGTTTATGTTGCAAATCGAAATGAAATATTATATAAAACGAATTTGTTAATTAATAATACTGTACATCCATTTGAACAAGTTTGCAACGTCTAGAAAATTTTTAAAAAATTTACAATTTCTTTGTTTTCCGCGACCAACTTTACTTCGAACGCGCTGTCAAAATCGAATTTTTCAGCGGCTCAGCGTTGCCGCATCGTTTATTTAGGTACGCGCCATACAAAATCTGTTGACATGAGGTATTTTTAACAGTAATTTGCCACTGCCGCTATTTTAGGGACGGCAGTTAGCCCCGCATGACACTAGCCTATATGTATGACGTCGTCGACACAACCTGTTTCCTAATAAAATATTTTAGATATATTCTTAGTTATATATACGTATACCTAATCCAAGGATCCATCCTTTCCATACTTATCAATAGTGTCACAAAATCTGATTGGATTTTCGTCTTTTCGAACATACGCAAAACCCATATTCGAATCAGCTGTTTGCTAATGTCACCAAACTTGCAAATGAATAAGCTTGGAAGCAATCCTATTAAAGTTTACGTTAAGTTCCGCAATTTTATCTTTTATTTTATTGGAGGAAGAAAGCAACGAAAAGATAAAAAGAAAGATTTTAAGAGATCACAGTAATCCACTTGATTTCTGAGGGGAATCGTAAGTGAAATTTAGCTTGCATTTACTTGTATGCTTGTATGTATTTACTTGCTTACTTTACAGATTTATATTACATTATCGCCTGAATAAAGATGAATTTGTTTTGGTGTTAAATTACGTCTTGTAAATCCTCCTAAAATATCTGGATTTTTTTCCACAAACTCAATAATTAGTCCATTTTGTGTTCTATTCTTATGTTTTCCCATATAGAAATAGGTTTACGTTAATTCGTAACAATTAAATAAATTAATTTCTTAACTTAGATTTGAAATCTGTTAGCGATTATCTTTTTGCTTTGTTTCTGATAACAAAATAGATAAAATTGGTTATAATATTGTTAATGTGAATGTAAGTTTTTTTGTTACTCTTTCATGCGGAAACCACTTTTTATCTATTTGTATAATATTAGAGCATAGGATAACTATTACTATTCAAAAATTTATTTTTGCAGATATGATTTTTTGTGAAGTAAAGTTGAAAATTGAAAAACAATATTTTGGCATATAGGATTGTTTGATTTTCTGGTTACCACCACCACCACAAAGATAATCTTAGCGGTATATTATTCGTGTATTTAGTTTGTTTTGTTAATGATCGTTGATATTTATTTAAGGGATTCAAAGCGAAGCGAAGAAAAAGAAGAGCTAAATCGATTTGGCAGAGAATCAGTGGGGAGGTAGCTAAGAAACAGGAGACATAGAATAATTTTTACCCCACTCCCGTGTTACGTATGACAAAAAGTAACTGACGCAACTGTTTGTTCGGAGTAAGCTAAACTACTGAACTGATTTTGGTGAAATTTAGCACACTATGTTCAGTTTACTCCTCCTTAAAATATAGGATAGTTTATATCTCAATTAGGTTAAAAGTCAATTCATAAATAAAAAATATATTTCAAATCATAAGCATGTGTTTTGTTAAAACAACAACAAATAGCAACGGCAGGAGTACAGTATTTTTTGTATACATGAGTTATACTGATTGTTGCTACTGAACAAGGCGATTTTTATTGGAGACACCATGTGTAACCGGTAAGACATTTATATTTAATATCACAACAGAAAGTCGCATTCGCAGTTGCAGACCAGGCATTGCGACTTCTGTGCAAGATGATGGGCGAACGACGCACAGGCATTCATAAAAAGCTAAAGCATGTAACATAAAACAAGAAAAAACTTTAATTTCGGCGGCACCGAAGCTATAATACCATTCACAGGTGCATTTCTTATAGCAAAAAAGGGTATAAAAATATCTTTATCTTGTTTTGATCTGTCAGTTTGTATGAACAATCTACGGTCACTCCAGGATAAAGTGATGGATCATGAATTACGTCGAGCAATGGAGTAGATAACATTTGTTCAAAAGTAAATAACTATCTCATCGACATTTCCCGATACTTTTCTCTCCAACTAAATCCACAGCAACCATTTTCACGAACTGAACGAAAGAGTACAGTTTGGGTTTTAATATTGCAGTTAATGGCATTAAAATTCCGACCGTATACAACACAAAAATGTTATGTGTTATACTTGATAGCTTGTATTCTTTTACTCCGCATACGTACTCAATTACTGTCAAAACTCAAAGTCGCGACAAAACACTCCAGTCGATAGCCGGGAACACCTGGCCAAAAGGCCTTTGCGTTGATGTCAACATACAAGGCAATCAGCCGGCCGGTCATCAACTACAAAGCACCAATATGATCGCCTGGAGGTAGTAAAACGCAGACGAAGAATCTTAACACGTGTCAGAACACTGCACTCCGTACGAGAACAAGATGTCTCCTAATATATCCCGTTGAACATCTACATAGTAAAGCCTGCATGCTTCCGGTTAAAGAACACAATACACTCTTTTTCAAGTGCTTTCTGCAGGAATGTTTTCGTAGGATCCGTTAGATGACTTCGATGACAACCAACTTGAACCTCACCACCCAACCAGAAACAATAACAATTAACTTTAGTTTTATCATACAAACAGGGTCTGGATAACCGTTTCAAAAACAAAATAAATTTTTTTATGAGTTTTCATTCATTTATATTCAATTAAATAGTATAACTTTAATATTTTCAGCTTTCAAAGCAAAGGATTTCCCTGTGGATTTTCCGTAAATAGAAATATTCCCTTATTTTGCGACTTGCAAAACGGAGCATTTGGGAGCTTAACATCGTGATACTCATCTGTTTCGTTTAACGTCAATCCCACCAACAAAGTTTGTCCATTTAATGAACTATTTACATCCGATGGTACAATTTGCTTTCGGTTATTTATTGAGTAGATGGTGTAATTTACTCCGAACAGACCAAAGATTTTATTTACATCGTCATATAATTGTGACAATGTAATGAACTCATTGGTAGCATTATTCTCAAGTAATAAACTGGCTTTTCTGCCCTGATTAAACCGTGGACATAATTTCTCAGATAGAATAACATTCACCCACCTCAGTGACGTCAAATTTACCTTTTCAGTTGCACAAATTGTTAGTGCCATTATCACACCTTTAATAACTGCGTTTTCAGTGATAATTAAACGATGTTTTTCGATTTCTTCCCTGTCAAATGGAAGCAGTTCCGATTTAATACTGCCTTTAATCATGGTTTCATGATTAGCAATAATTTTAGTTAACTGATCACATTCACCGTCATTGGCACCACTTAATTCATAGAAAATTATTACCGGATCCGTTGGTATGAGTTGAGCTTTTTTCTTGAGTTTTTGTATACGGTTTATAACTTCGCGAGCTAAACCTTCTTCGAGCAATTCAGGACTCGGTGTCATGTCCATAAGCACAAGTACTTCGCTGTCACTGTTCGCCTCTATATTTGTTCCTATCGTCTCTGAAACACAATATATTATCCGTACTTCTTCAAGCTCAACACGGTGGTTAAGTATGTCGAAATATCCATTCGATACATGTAATTGTATTTCATCATCGCTGAGCTGTTTGATAGCTGACATAACAGATTTGAAATCACCTTTTAATCTTTGACCTAGAATCTACGGGAAAAATCCAGTTTAGGCTTAACTAAAATAAAATATATACAACTAATATACCTTATGATCTGGTTCTGCACGTAACGTTATTCCATATTTCTCCTTATCTGAACTTACAGTTAATTTACGAGCATTTAACTCACTCAATATGAACGTTTCCAGGCTCATGATAGAAGAAAGGCAATCGGCATCCTTGTGTATAATAATTATATTTAATACGGGATATTTTATTGGTAACGTACGCCGGTCACGCATTACACGACCCAGTTCGATAGCTGACTGCATTAAAGTTACAGATTTCTCAATATCTGAACGTATAAAGTTTCGATTGCAGATAGGCATTAATTGATAATGCACTGAAGTTGAATCTTTAATGGCATTATCTGGTTGAAATAGTACTAAACGCTGAAAAATATATTCGGAAAGAAACGGCGTGAAAGGCGCCATTATTTCAACCATTGAATAGAGAACATCGTACAGTGTATCTAATGATTGTATACACTCCTTCTTGCCTAGTTCTCCCTTGATGCGGCGACGATTTAAACGCACATACCTACAAAGAAAATACATACCAACATTACGATTTTCTCATAGAAAAATATAATCTAACTTACCACTTCGTCAATTGATCTATAAATTTGGTCAATCGTGGCACCACGGTGTATAAACGATACCGTTTCATTTCCTTGAAGAAGAAATCCAACAGAGACTCTTTGAAGGAAATTATCCAAATATCAAGTACAGACGATTCACCAATGTTTTTTAGATGGCGTTCTTTATTGTATATATACTTCTTCTCACCATTAAGATCCTCTTTCTCAAAACGAGCAATGTTTTGTAATAAAAACCGATAAGCATTATACCACGGTAAAAATACATCTTTAATTATATCCCGTACACCTTCCTCTTTAAATCTCAAATTCTCAGCTCGTACTACAGGGGAATTTATTAAATATAGACGAAGTGCATCGGCGCCATATTTGTTTACTACCTCCATAGGGTCTGGATAGTTCTTTTTACGTTTTGACATTTTTTGACCATCTGCCGTTAACACAAGGCCGTTTGCAATTAAATTTTTGTAAGGTGCTTTATTGAACAAAGCTGTAGAAATTACTAACAGTGTATAAAACCAACCACGAGTTTGATCAATGCCCTCGGCAATGAAATCGGCTGGAAAATTACTCATAAAATCTGTTTCGTTCTCAAAAGGAAAATGTTGTTGAGCAAATGGCATTGAACCTGACTCAAACCAGCAATCAAAAACTGCAGAAATACGCTTTAATGGGGGCCTTCCGGGTATGGCAGACGGTATTTTTATTTCATCGATCGTCTCGCGATGAAGATCCGTAATCTTCTTCCCGGATAACATTTCTAATTGTTTGATACTTCCAATACAAACAGTTTCATCACCAGTAGGTGAACGCCAAATCGGTATTGGCGTCCCCCAATAACGGTTGCGACTAATCTAGAAAATGTGCATAAATAAACTTATTTGCCCGTAAATATTTGATTAAACTTACAGCCCAATCCCTTGCTTCTTTTAACCAATTGCCAAATCGTTTATCTCGTACAAATTCAGGAACCCAATAAGTTTGCGAGCTGCACGCCAATAAGTTTTTTGACATGTGTTCGACCCGTACAAACCACGATGGAACAGCCTTATAAATGAGTGGTGTATCTGAGCGCCAACAAAATGGGTAGCTGTGTTTAACTTGCCCAGTTGAAACAAGACTTCCCATCTCCTTAAGCATTGATATTATTTTCTTATCGGCATCTTTTACGTATAATCCAGCTAGATCTTTAACTTCGTTTGTGAATCGACCCGAATCGTCAAGTGGACAAATTACATCACTTGATTTGGAAATAATACCAGCCTTAAGGCAAACTCGGTAATCATCTTCGCCGAAATAAGGTGCATTGTGAACAACGCCAGTACCTGAATCCTCGGTTACATAATCATCTACAAGAACTCGGAAAGCATGATCTTCAGTGCCCCTTTGCACAAAGTAGGGAAATATTGGTTTGTAGTGTTGATTAGCAAGCACACGTCCAGGGAATTTATCTAAAACTTCATATTCATTTTCATCCTTATAGACGTAACTTAGGCGGCATTCAGCCACTATGTAAATCCTGCCAGTTGCCTTATCACGTGCCTAAAATCATATTTAGCTTCTGATATGCATGTTAGGGTAATTTACTTTATTTTTTTTGAACCTACCTTAACATATATCATGTTCGGGTTAACACAACAAGCATAATTGGACGGTAAAGTCCATGGCGTTGTTGTCCATATGAGGAGGTATGTATTTTCCAAATTAATAGTCTGCAGTGCCACCACTACACAAGGATCGACAACTTCTTTGTAATTCTGACCTGATTCGAAATTCGATAGGGCAGTTGTGCATGCCGTTGAATATGGCATAACCTTAACTCCTTGATATACTAGTCCTTTATCAAATAATTGTTTAAAAACCCACCATATCGACTCCATATACCAAGGATAAAGGGTTTTGTAATCATTCTTAAAGTCAATCCAACGACCCATACGCGTAACAATTTCCTCCCATTCGTTAGCGTAACGCATAACTATTTTACGGCATTCAGCATTGTATGCTTTAATACCCATTTTAGCAACGTCTTCTGGGCCACGTATGTTTAAAAGCTTATCTATTTCAAATTCAACCGGCAAGCCATGACAATCCCAACCGAAACGCCTATCAACATGATATCCTTGTTGATATGCATACCGGGTAATGATATCCTTAATAGTACCTGCCAATATATGGCCATAGTGTGGCAGTCCAGTAGCAAATGGTGGGCCATCATAGAACGTATATCTATGAAATTAAGAACAAATTCAATTTACACAAAACTTAAAATTATTTGAATACTTCTCAACAAACGTTACTTTGGTTTCCCCTTTGACAAATGCATACATTGTTCAAATATTCTACTATTCTGCCACTGTTCCAATGTACGCACCTCCTCAGCGGTAAAATTTATTATTTCTGGAACGCGGCAAACATTTTCCCTACAAACACCGGGTGGTGTAGGATCACTTTGTACCATAACCATGACTACGAATCTAATAAAACGTATGAACACACGTGGGTTACTTAATTTGTAATTAAGAAATATATGATATACAACACAAAAATATATATGTATGTTAGTTCGTTTATATTTGACATTATGAATGTACAATTACTTTTATAAATGATCCGACTTAATTTGCAAATCTATCACCAGGGATAATCTCTGATATATATATTATCCCTGGATAAAATGATCCGCAACCATTGTATAAATCTACAAGTAGCCAATCCTAAGATTTTCACTAATACACACGCAAAAATATCCCACTTGGTACGGGTTGCCTCGAAAATTCTACTACTAAAATCACACTTGGTACGGGTTGCCAACCAATATTCTGCTACTAAAGTCACACTTTGTACGAGTTCCCAACCAATATTCTACTACTAAAACGTCCAAATGACAGAAATCTGCTCTAGTGTGTCGCCATGTTATGTTGGCTTATACAATGTCCGCAACTCTTTGATTTGAGAGAGCGCTGTCAAAGTCCACATTTTTTATAACATTTGACAGTGGTGCCATTAAGGGAAGAAATAAGTTTTGAGATTTTTGTATGTATTTCTTGGGTATTTTTAGGTTTCCATTTTACAGAAAAATATACATAATTAAAGATAGTTTAATAAGCTGGATATCTTATATGACGTTTAAATATATTTACGTGTATTTTTTAATCACAAAAGATTTTCAAAATTTACTAATAAAACCAAATTTAACAAAATATTTTAATATTTCAAAACACGTACAAGTTTTTAATAAGCTTAACATGAACATTACTTAGTTTTTATATACTGAATAAACAAATATCTTTCGATAATTTCTTCGGAAGTCAAATGTCATGTTTACATAATATTTGCTGGGAATTCTAATCAAAATATGTACATACGTTGACAATTGGTACTGCTAAGCAAAACAATACTCTGCGACAAAATACCCGGTCTTTCTTAAAAACAAATCTTAATTAAAAATATGCGTAAAAGTCACAATTTTTTTTTGCGGGATTCTTAGTGGTGGTTCATTGTTTTGGTTGTCATCTGTTCAGTAACTCATGAACTCGTGGTTTTATTTAGCGTTTTTTATAACATTTTCCATTGTAGCCAGATCAGACAAAATAATAATTTTTGAGAACTTAAACTAAAATACCCATCATTTATTAAGATGAAATATTATTATACATGTATCCGTTAAACATATGCAGAGACTTTTTTTGCTCTTTTTTTGTGATTTTGTGATATATTAAACAATTGATTTTTGAACTTTCAATACGTAATCAAAAGAATAAATGTATTAGCTCTCAATTAAAAAATGTTTTTAAAAATTTTCATTTGAAAATCAATACCACTTAGCATGACATCACAAAAGATATAATATCATCACATATTTCAATTTCGCGTTTTCTTTCATTTTCATTGTTTTCCAATTTTTGTTAGTGATCTTCAACAGCAGCACAAATCTCTCTGTTAACATATTTTTCTGTATGATTTTAATCTGGCCGTCCCTCTTTTTCCAATTGCTAAACGTCAGACCTACTGAACTTTATCAATTGCTCTCTTATTTCCAGTGAGAGACGAGTAGGGCATCTCTTTATCTCTGATTTTATCTAAGTCTATTACTGTAATAGCAGCATGGTATAACCATTGTATAAACTTATTAGATTTAGTAGATTTATACAATGGGTATAATTATGAGTGGACGGTAAGAAATAACTATTGTAAAAGAATTTGATATTATAAGTCATAATAATTTATTTAAACAATAAAGCAAAACTTATCATTGTAGATATATCAAGAAATAATTATTGAACCGATGTTTTCTCTAATTTAAGTTAACATTCATTTAATCACAAATTTTTTTTACATTTTATTATTTATAGCATTTAGCGAAAAAATATGTACAATATTTCATTAACAGCTCTTTACAAAAAAATTATCATATTATTATATAGTTCTCAGTTTATTTTTTAAATATATAGCCATTTTAAATAAATTATTTGTTAAAGTTGCAATATATTTGTAGTACAAAATACGGTAGCTATACCGGTAGCTGTCTCTGTGTTTCAGCATTCAGCGATAAAAATATGTAGAATCTTTTATCAACAACTCTTTATATTAATAAATTACCATATTTTTATATAGTTTAAGGTTTAGTTTTTAAGTCTATATTCTTCTTAAATAAATTATTTGTTAAAGTTGCAATATATTTGTAGTACAAAATACGGTAGGTATATCCGGGAGCTGTCTCTGTGTTCAGCATTCAACGATAAAAATATGTAGAATATTTTATCAACAACCTTTTATATAAATAAATTACCATATTGTTATATAGTTTTAGGTTTAGTTTTAAAATCTATAGTCTTCTTAAATAAATTATTTGTTGAATTTCCAAAATCTTTATAGTATATAATACGGTAGATATATATATCTCTTAAAAAGTAATTTAAAATTAGCTTATGCAACACTTTTACACAATGCTCAATAGCAATACTGGCAACACATTTAAATTTATTAACAAATATTTGTGAAACGGACGGACTTATTTTTTGAAAGGTAAGTTGTTTTTGATAATTGTTTTTAATATAATTATTTTATGGTTTTTTTTTTCATAGAAACATATGTAAAATTTGTCTGAAGTCCTTTGTCCGGGTGTTTATCTGAAAAAAAAAATCTTCATTTGTTGTCCTGATTACAACGTAATAGAAATTTTGACATTTTGAAGTGCTCAATTAATTATTACGATAGGAATGCACATATATTCGGGCTATTAGGCACATTTCGCACTTTTTAGATCTCCACTGTTGGCAATGCATGCACATTAAATGTATTATATAAGTATTCTAAGTAAATGAATTTTTTAAATGTTTTTGTTTCTTCATTTATTTATTGTATATAATTTTGTTATCCAGTTTTAAGGTATATGGGTGAAAATAGGCCTCCTGGGGAACCGAACACCCAAAAAAATCGGTAACGCGCCTAGTTTCAAACCTCATGGTGGTGTGGAAAATGCAATATCGATATAAAGAGCACGCCTATATTGCAACCTCAGAGGCGATGAAGAAAAGCAATAAATATATAATAACCTTTTGTTTCGAAAATATTCGTGAAAGTTTTCATTAATATGCTCCATTACAAATAAATGTTCACAAACAAATTATTAAACTACATTCCTTTTATTAAAATCTCTGTGTCAAAAAAGGCTGATTCGATCTCAGCTGTGTCACGCAGATACGAAAACAGCTGGTTCTTTTGTTACTTGACGGCATATACATTTTGTCGATGTCAAAAACACGGTATAGGGCATTTATTCAATATTATATATAGTATAGTAGGCTTTTACCAGAGAACGTATATCATAGAGAAGGTTCACAGTGCGGCCATTAGCAAAATATTTCATGCTTCGCAGGGGAACTGAAAAAGATGAGCGTGTTTCACCACATTTGGAAGGGGTACTGAAAACGATGAGCGTGTTTCACCAAATGTCCACAATTAACATCAGGGGACTAAAAATAGCAGAATTGAGCATTTTCAATGTTAATTGAGAAAAATAATGCTAATTTCAATGTTAAGAAATGTACGCTTACAGATTCGTATATTTACAATGCGCAAACGACTTTGCATATAATTTGAAGATATTCTGCCTATACAGGGTGGCTAACGAATCGTGCTACAAAATTAAAGCGCAATAAATTTCTTTTTAGTCAATGCATTACATTCAATTTTGTTATTGTATAGAAAATTTTATTTTATTTAAACAATTAATTAATTTTCCATACTCAACCACGCATATGCGACACCTAATTCGGGATTGCCTCAATTATCTATTTAATGGACCGCTTCAGTTCAGTCAGATTTCTGGGTTTGATTTTGTACACCTCTTGCTTGACATAACCCCATAAGAAAACACCAAGCGGTCGCAAATATTCTTATACATTATATATGTATAATTATGTGTGCATGTAAACAAATAGAAGTACCCTTTATAATTATTAATTTTTCTACATGCAACATATGTGTGTAAGTATGTACACTCATTGTTTCATGCGAAATCTCCGTTGCCCTGGACAACCAATGGCCGAAGTTCACGTTTTTTGTTTTCTTGTCAAAGAGTCACTGTGTCGAAGGACTGACGCGACGACAAAGCGTCACAGCATTGTGTTGTTGGTAGAAAATCCGAGCTGTGCCGAAAAAATATTAACGAACGGCCGCCGATTGTCACCGCTTCCCTTGCCGCTCTAACAGCTTTGCCCACTAATCATCGTAAATATGTATGTTTATATATGAGCATGCATACATATTGACGCAGATTTTTGTGAGACACGGAAAAATAATTTAAAATTGTAAATTTAAATTGTAAAATATTTTAAATCGACAAAAGCTTTGTTGCCAGTTTTGTCAATTTTTTCTGTGTTTTGTGGGCTTGTGTGGTTGCAACTTTTCCCTTCCAGAGGGAATATCAGAAATTTGTTCAACTTATGATTTTTAGCTTTTGCCATCGTCGCGAAAAGATGCTTGTTGGCAAACGCATGCTCGGGGAGATGAGATTGTGTCTGTTTTATGAATGAAGCGAGGTTGCTTATTGAAAGTACGCCTGCGTTTATGAATGAAAATGTTGTTGTTGTGTGATTTACTATAAATTTGGGCTTCGCCTATTTGGCTGACATATTGACTTGTGACGATTGTTGTTTTTGTAGAACAATGTTTGTAGTTTTTGCGAGTGACATATTTACGAATATATGAATGTAGGTTTGTGTATCCATTATTTGTGTAGCAATGTCATAAGCACATATGTATGTATGTACATATAGAGCAGTGCGCGCAAATGTTATTACTGATAAATGATTTAAGATATTATGTTAGTATGTTATATACTTATGTATATAGTAAAACATAGCAGATACATATACATACATTATAAAATTATGATTTGATAAAAGATGTACATATGTACCTATACATAAGTATATTGTAATAAATTTAATCTCTATTAGGAAAGTACATAAAAACTAAATAAAATCATTAAATTCCCAAATTGACTACATACATATAATATTTTTAAAATTACATAATTTAATTAGAATGTTATCAGTTTTGCATGTTTTCATAAAAATTCGCAAAATGATATTCATATCAATAAATATGATTGCATATAAGCGTATAAATATAAACCAAAAGAGTAACATGCGGCTGTAAAATCAACGCAAGTCCTGAGCATAATTTTTATTCAATGTTCAGTTCTGTTCACTCGCCACTGTTAAAATTTCTCCTTCCGAGCCGACTGTGGTGAAACACTCTCATCGCATTTTGTTAGGTTTTGACAATTCACACGCTGGTCCGTAGTTGGACCTTCTCTGTATTTTACGTTCTCTGCTTTTACAATGGAATAGGGGCAGTGCACATTCACAGTACTTTCGCCACCTCAGAAGCGTACGTTTACAATATATCCAACATGGCCACCTCTGGTGAGTTAGGGTGGCGAGGGGTTAAAACGGGCTGCTCATAAAAAAAAACGCTGTCAAATTATTTATAAACATTTTAAATTTTGGTTATAGAATGATAGCTAAGCTGTAAACAAGATATGAAATTGTATCATGTTCAGATAGGTAAATATACGGCCTATTTTTAAGCATTTTAATTAACTTATTATTGGACAAGTTGAAAATTCAATTTAACTATGAGTGGACGGAAAGAAAAAATTATTGTAACAGAATTTGATATTATAAGTCATATAAACAAACAAACAATTGTCATACAAGTCATAATAATTCAATTAAGCAATTAAGCAAATTAGTTACTGAGCTGTTGTTTTCTCTAATTTAAGTATACATTTATTAAATCACAAAATTTATTTACGTTTTATATTTTAGCATTTAGCGACGAATATATTTATAATATTTCATTCTCTTTACGTAAGTATTACAATATTATTATATATGTAGTTCTATGTTCAGTTTTAAATATATACATTTCTGAAATAAATTATTTGTTGAAGATGCAATATCTTTATTTATATTATAAAATACGGTAGATATATATTTTTCCTATAAAGGCAATACTGGCAACACATCTGAATATTTTTGCCATGGACGAACTTATCTACAAAGGGGAGTTGTATATTAATTTAAATTCCCACAAATTATTATTTTGTCTGATCTGGCTACAATAGAAATGTTATAAAAAACGCTAATAAAGAGGCGTTTTCACACTGAAATAAGTTGGGCATCCCTTTATCCCTGCTTTCATTGTGTCTCTCTTATAAAAATGGCGACGGTTGCTTAGCAATGCGTAAAAAAATGAGAGTTGTCCAACATTTTGCTTGGCTTTGCGTCGAAAACTTTGGCGTAAACCCCTCTCTCTTTTGACCCTCATTATCGGAAAATTTTCTTTTGGTGTCCCTCTGTGCATTCACACGAGCAAAAAGAGTCCTGCAACTCGAATCGAGTTTTCTGTCATTCCTTTTCATAAAATTTCCTTTTCGAAAATGTTTGTGCGGTTCGGCTACGCGACACTTAGAGTGTGTTGCATAGTTAATTTGTATGTGGGGATGGTGGTCCCACATTTTGTTTGCAATGAATTAGCATGAATGTGGTAGAAAAATATGCATAACACCTATCCGCTTAATAGTTTTAAAGAAATTCTTGAGACGGGAATTCGCTAATCCACCAGAATGTATTGAGTACCCGCTACTAAAATTTTCAAGGCCAAATTTATAACAGGAATTTCCAAATCTTTAAGTATTAAAAATTCATAATTTCTTTACTCCATATTTTTGTCTATTTATTATAAAGCATCCTTGAATTCACCACAATTCTCATTTTAAATAAAATAATATTCGAACTAACTCCTTTGCGGTTAAAAAAAAATAAATATGAAAGCATCTTAATATTTTATGTTTATATAAAAAAGTAAAGTTACCATTTTTATTAGAATACTTTTATGTATACTGGTACATTATTACATTTAATACCGCTATATGTTATTAAAATTAAATTTTGAGTATCTTAATTTTCTCCTTTATTAGAATTTTGCGAAACATTTCTATTATTCTATGCATACATATTTGCATTTCAGCGAGCTGTTACGAACAAGAACATAAAGCGTGCCACCCGAACACGAGTGTCACGGGCCCTTCGTCTTTCCTCGTCGTCCCCTTGCTATATATAAAGCGTTTTGGGTTACAAAAGAGACTGTGTGTAAATTGCCACATTCCGATCGAACGCGCTTGTATGAGACAGTTCATACACAGATTCTAGATAGATTCTTTCTACCCTTTTCCCCATTCCTTTTCACTTTCAAATTCTTTAAATGGTTGCAAGAGCGCTCGGTTTCAAATGAAAATATACCATTCATTTAGAAATTTGAATTCTGTTATCTATTTTTTATATGCAATATGCAAATATGTATGCATAGAATAATAAAAATATTTTCAAAAATTGTAAATGAGGAAAAAACTAAGATACTCATATATATTCAATTTAAATTTTTAATAACATATAGCGGTATTAAATGTAATAATATAGGAGTATACGTAAAAGAATTCATTCTAGTAATTCATTGCAGCCAAATGTGAGACCATCATCCCAACATACAAATGAACTATGCAAAATACTCTAAGTGTCGCGCAGCCGAACCGCCTAAACATTTGCGAAAATTGTATAAAAAGAAATGACAGAAAAACTCATTTTGAGTTGCTGGACTCTTTTTGCTCGTGTGTATGCACAGAGCGACACTAAAATGGAATTTGCCGATAATGAGAGTCAAAAGAGTCCCAATGTAAGCATAGTATATGGCGTGTGTGGCCACTTTTACTAGGTGGTAATCTGAACAAATTTATACATAAAGCGGCCTTTACACGGTCATTTTTGTATGCAGACATGGTATGATGCTAAAAAAAACTGGTTTTCGTTGAAACGGTCGAACATGCAATCATACTTTATTTCTCTGTTATTTGTGAACGAAGCAACATCAAGGATGAAATGACAAGGATGACATGAAGCGAGACTCTCATTTTCGCTAATTTTTCTGTTATTCTCTTTCCCTGATTATTAAAATCAGGGAATTTCGAACAGCTGATGTTAAAAAAGGCGGGATGCCAGAAATAAACCCGCTCAAAATAGATAACAAAAGCAGTGCGTAAGGAAATTTCAGGGAACGACACAGATACTTTTGAATACGGTCCACCAAATTTTATTTGCTAATTTAATTTAAAACGTTCATCATAAAACCATGATATTTTATTATGACTTGTATTGTTTCTTTGTTATAATTTTTTTTATTTATATGTTTTTTTTATGTTATATGATTTTTTTAAAAAATATTAATCCAGCCATCCAGAACGCTTCGATAAATTTCAAAGAAGTCCTTCCACAGTTCTTCGTTTATCCGTGACGTCATTACGCTTCAATGTTTGCCTTAAATGAAAAAATATACTGCGTGCAAGATGCAAGCGTTTACACCTTAAAACATGTTCATAACAACATCATGTTTATAAAAATTTTTAAAAACCATCGCACATGTATGACTAACACGAATTTATTATGTTTACACGCTCATTCTTCTCATCACGCCGCACATGCTTGCAAACATGAATGACCATGTAAAGGCCGCTTAAGAGTTGTCGGCATTTAACTGTCAATTTTGTGGTCTGGCAATCGAGGTGTTTTTTACACAAAATCTGTATCGGGTACAAACATAAAATTTCAAACGAAAATTCTCACGAGTAAAGTTCAGATTTTAACATCCCACGAATACACAAAGCTGGCCCTAATTTATAGTTTTTGAGATAGGTTGATAATTGTTGAGATAGTATGATATATATAGCATCAGTACATATAATAGTACACATATTTTATTATTGCAAGAAAGCCTTAAAAATACTTAATGGAAATCATTTAAAATTAATAAAGTTTGGCCTTGGAAGCTTTCAAAGCATAAAAAGCTTTTTGTTTCAAAAGCTCTATCCATTTTCTCAACATCTACAAGTTCCCAAAAATTCCTCGAATATGGAGCTCTTCAGTTTGAACTTATCTGCTTGTCGTAGAATGAATACGGTTTTTCCTAATTGTCCTAACCGCAGTCGGATCTACGTAACCAGATTTGTATTCAGCAAAGTACTTAACACCATGTTACAAAACTAAGTTTCATGATGTTCACAGATGTTTTGTTACTGTGCTCCAAATTTTTATTGATTCCTGGTTTATAAATGTAATAGAATTTTCTGCTGATATTATCGGGCAACCCGTCACATTTCAGTATTTATAACGATTTGGTGAAAAAGTCAAATAAGCTATGAAAACATTTATCCCGATAACTCTTTGTGAACATAGAATTAATTCGAAAATACTGTGAAAACATGTATCAAGATAACCTTTTTGTGAACACAGTATTAACTCAAAAATGTCGTGAAAATATTTTGCGAGATAATCTCTGTTGTTGTTGTAGCTGCAGAATTCTGCTGAGTTGACAGTCCTTGACCGGATAAAATCCAGGTCCGTGCCGGTTACATAGACCCGATTGTCGTTGGAACGGCAAGAACCTCTTTGTGAACATGGTATAAACTAAAAAATGCTGTAAAAACAGTTATCAAGATAATCCGTTTGTGAACACAGAGTAATGCTTAACGTGATATATGCGAACATATGGGAAAATTTTGGAATTGCAGTTTTCTAGTGATTGTATGACAGAGTACGATATATAATATTTATTAATCAAGTTCTAACAATAAAAAATAAAGCATCTACGACATTAACTACTGCGTTCGTTTTGTTTTCTCTTTTGTTGAAGTGTTGCTTTCTTAAATACAATTTTGTGGTTATTAATTTAGGTGCAACAAACAGCTTTCTGAATGTAAAATATATACTTCTTATATTGAATGCCAATGTGAATATTTATACAAAGATTCATTATAGCGTGAATTTAAAGAGAAAAAATTGTAAAATTTGGAATGAAGTTATTTTTTTGTTTTGTAAAAGTAATTACTCAAGCTGCATAATAACACATAAGTTAAACAGCATTATACTGTTATAAAAAACTAAAATGTTACATTTGTTGCGTTGGTATTAGCAAGACTAACTGGCAGCAGATTGATTGGACTCGGATATGGTATTTGTAGCATTAAGTGTTGCCAAAATTTATTGAAATGAGTAATTGCACGTAATTTGTACTTACTAACTCATATGAAAAAATTTGACTATGAAATGTTTGAACGGATATGACCAATTTCGCATCTATTTCACTTAGATTGGTTATGATTTCTTACAAGGTCAATCTCCAAGTGTTATAAATAAAATTTAAAGTTACAGAGTTTTAGTACGTATAATTGTCGAAAATTTATATTGTTTCTTATACAAATATTTATGAGAGATGGCAATACTATTTTGAGTACTTAAGAAATGTATCAAGGTGGTGCATTACTATTTTTTGGTTTCGTGTATTGGTTTTACTTTTGGCTTTGTGATTGTTAGGCTATATTTTAGTGAGTTAGGAAAATAAATTAAAAAAAAAATCGGAATGTTTATTAATTTTACTTTTGGCTTTTTACCTAAAACTTCTTAAAATTTGCCAATTTTTTATGCTAAGTGTCGATTTATACCAAATTGAACTATAATTGCTGGTTGAAAAGAAATGTTCAATAGTCTTTTTTAAATATCAGTGTTAATATGCTTTCTTAGGTAGATTGATTTTCATTGATCGCTATCGACTTGATTATGTTTAACGCCAAAGAGATTGACATTAATATCAATTGAGTACTTAATTTCACCTGTAAAATCAAGTGGTAGGAATGTAATTTAATGATTTATACTGCCAAGAAAATATTAAATCCATGAACTAATTAAAATAGTGTGTGAATATATAAGTTTTACAAGTGGTTAAACAATGTTCTGTTAAGAACTATACAATAATGTAAAATAATCAACTTAAAATTTACACATTTGTTAAGAAGCATCATCATTCAATCAGTTGGCGACGAATTGTATTCATACTTGTATCTGAAAAACTTTGGTGATGAATTCTTCAGCGGTATCGGCGTTGGACATGACTATTAAATGTCAAGGTCCCCTCAAACTATATTATTACCAGTTACCGGACGACATTTCCGATAGTTGTAACACCACAGCACCAAACTGTGATAATATAAAGCGTTATAGTAGATCGAAACTTTATGATCTTCGCAACGAAACAAATTCTCGTCGCCGTCCTGAATATGACCTAAGAGCTGAATTGCAATCGCTTGGTGTTTGGAAGTTTAATACCAGTGGCAACGTTCACCAAAATGGTGCAGGTTCAACTATCGAAGGAACCGCAGCATCTAGCAATGCAGGTGTAGTTAATCATACAGTACAATTATCATCGGCGAATTTAAATGTACGAGCCCAACGTTCTCCTGCAAGTCGTGAAACTACAGTAAACATTTCGAATTCCTCGCAACATAATACATCTCATCACAACCTGCATAAGACATACATAGATCATCGCAGCATTTCTTCATCCCATCTTATGCCAGCGTTTGCTAAAAGACGTATTGCTGCCTCATCAACACCTTCTAGTAATGCTGCTGTTATGGGACCACAAAATCTATCGAGCAGTGGAAATTCATCTTATGGACCCAATTCTCCCGTCGATACCCGTTCACAAACGCCAACAGAAGTTAAAGATGCGTTATGTTACAATAATATATCCTGCGGAAGTAGCGGGAATATGCGGCAACGAAACAAGGATCACTTGTACGATTACCGTCAACGCGGAAGTAGCGGCGGCCCGATCACTGGAGACGACCCCAACATATTTATATCACCTCAAAGGAAACTATTAGGTATTCAACCAACTCAAATTAAATATTTTATAAAATATTGCTTTACTATAAATGTATTTATTTGTTTTAAATCGGAAATATCAACTATTAGTCCACAGGTTGTAGTCACAGAAAATGGTGTGTTAGATGAGCAAGATTGAGGATAAAGATGAAGACTATTGTGATGCGGAGAATCATATGTTGTTTTTCTAGCAGCTCCTTTAGGTTTGGCTAAAACTTCTTTGCAGAACGGTATACAAATCACGAATTAAATTGAAAGGGTGTGCAACCTACTACACTAACTTATTAATTAAAGTTAACTTTGCTTCTTGAGTTGTAAGTCAGTAGCCAAATGGTCAGGAGAATAATAATTTAAAAGCTCACGGCACATGAGTGAGTTCCCACACAACTGATTATTATTATTTTTACCTTTAAATTCTATATCTTGCAAATGTTGTAAAATATGTTACAGATAGTTGTAACTACGTCCTTATGACAAGTAACCTGAGCAATAGATGGAGGTAAACTTCTTGCATATGAGATCAGCGTTAAAAATGTAGCAAATTTTTCGGTTTCAAGAAAAATGACTTGTTCCCATAATAAATTGTGTGCTGTGAATTATTCATTAACTCTTGATTTCTAAACGTAATATTTTTCTCTCTTACAGAGCAAGATCGCGAGCGGGACAGAGAACTAGAACTTCAGTCTGACAGTAGACGACTATCATCACCCATATCTTTAGGTTTATCTAGATACAGCCACAATAACGGTGGCATCGCTCAAGAACGTAGAATCGGCAGCGGCCGTCTGCTACCACGCGACGTAAACTGGGATTATCGTGCTTCTCAAGACAGAGATAAAAGCCAAAGTTTAAACTCTGCCCCGATTCAAGATAAAGAGGTATTAGCACCAAATAATTTAGGTCAGGCTCGAGGTGGCGGGCGGTATTCAGATCGACCTCATGAACGAACTTCAGCTGGAAATGGATACTCAGAACGACGACATTTAGAACGGCGTAGCGGTGGTGACGATGATAATGTACAAGATAAATATGAGTACGTAAACAATGCTCAAACACCTAATCCTCATGGTGGTGGTACAAAGCGAGATATGTACGGCACTGATTCGTCTTCAAATCAGCATTCTATATCTCATATTCGTAATAGACGGAATCAGAAATATCATGATAGAAATGAGGAGCCTGAATGGTTTAGTAGTGGTCCAACATCTCAACATGATACGATTGAATTGCGAGGATTCGAAGAAATTGATGACCAATACAATGGAAGCTGTAGCGGTGGTATTGGTAGCACTAAGCAAACAACTTTGCCAAATTCATCGCGAAAGATAAGTGAAAGTTCATCATCTCGTGAGAGCAGTACTTTGAATCTGTCTAACTCGAAGTCAAAAGAGCAATTACATCTATCGGTAGATCAAGATAATGATGCCAATAAAACTTTAACTTTATCTCCAAGCACGTTACCAACCGGCAACAGTACAATTTCTTTTGAAAATATGGATTCTCTCCGTGATGAAGGGAAAAGTAAAGTGTTTAAAGATAATAGGGAGAGCAACAAGAACACTAAAAGATCAGTAGGAGGCGACCTAGCTATTGATGCGACACTCCCAGATTTTATGCTAGAAACTGAAGAAATTTCGAAAAATTCAAGCACTTCCAGAGATTCAGAGTTCAATTTTGATGTCTTCCTCAATCCAAATCTTGATCCGCTTAAACACTCGTTGATGCGTGGAGACAATTCCAATAATGAGAATGAAGTAATAGGTAGCTCTCGGTTTAGCCGTTGGTTCGCTAATAAATCTGTAGGTAATGAAGTACAACCACCGTCAGGAAGTGACAATGCAAACAATAGGGCTATGAATTTAATTGCCAGTGACGGCAAAAATGAAACAAATACTTTGATGGAATTTCTCAACAAACTGCCAGCTTTACCGGACTCTGTTATAACCCAAAAAGGTACATTTTGGCTATTTGATGATATTAAGGAGATAGGTGTAATCGGAGACATGAAAAAAATTTGAATTGAAATAATTTTATTTCAGTAAATTATTTTATTTTATAGAAGTAAAAACATAACATCATTAATAAGGTTTCGACTTAACTTAATAAAATTTGGAAACAAATTATTAATTGTAAAATTAATGGTTGTTGTTGTAGCGGCAGAAAACATTCCTGAAGTAATTTCGAGAAATGGTGCCGCGTTGACAGTCCTTGGCCGGATAAAATCCGGGTCTGTTCCGGTTACTTAGACCCGACTGTCGTGGGAACGGAAATAATAGTTTGTGTTGATTCAGTTCCAAGCGAAGGTCCGGCGACAATTACTAATCCTTGGATATTCATCTAAAATCAATTGGCCAAAAAAATCTGTTTTATCAGTAGTTAATCGAGTGACTGATTGAAGCTTGTTTTGTTTTAAATTAACAAAGTGGCGACCTTAGGAATTTTCTGTCAACTAGGCACCAATTCTCGAAATTACTACAGGAATTTTATGCCGCTCCAACAACAACAATTTTTAAAAAAATTGTTTTTTTATATTATTTTATTTTTTAAATTTATTTTAATTTTTTTAATTTACTTATGTAGTTACCGCTATTACGAGTGTGGAGGAACTGGAAGCACGTATGGGTGTCATGAGTACAGCAAATGAAGTTTTACCAGTGACACACAGTGTCGATATGCTAAACAAAAAGAATGAGGAAAGAGCGCTTGGTATGATTCCTCCAACTTCAAATGAACAGTTAAACTCTGAACAACCTCAAGCTGGGGAAATTGAAGCATTTAAAAAGTTGCTGGAACAACTAGGAACTGGAAATAAACAGCTACAGCAGCAGCATAACCAGGCACAACAGCTTTTACTACCACATAATCTGCAGTCAAACGTTTTGATATCACCAAAACAGCGATCTGGCTCGATGCATCCACTTAATATTATGCAAACAGGAGCTGCTCCCAATCTTTCACAACAAATTATCATTAAAAATGATGAACTGAAAAAGATTTTGCGTTCACAGGGATTTCATCAGCAGCATCAAAAAAATGAAGACATTAACATCTTGTCTCAGTCGCAGCCGCAGCCAATATCACTATCTGTATTGTTTGGGAATCATCCTCAGAAGCGTATGGAACATAATCTGTTCCAAGGTGTACAACGTGGTGCAGTGTCAATACATTTTTTAGAACAGCAACTTAATAACCCGAATACGTCACCATCTGTAAAAGAAGCAATTACTACAGTTCTCCGTGACGCATCTACAATGGCAACATTAGGCAGCAATGTTCCACAAAGTCAACAGAGCTGCGGACCTATTGGACTTCAGCAACAGAACTCACTTATATGTAACAATAGTGGATCAATCCTCCATCAAGGCCCCGGTAATGCACCTATTGAATCGTTGCAGCAACACCAGATTTTGCAGCAAATTCCGAATTCAAATGTCATGATTTCAGGACAAACAGAACGGATTTCACTTCTGCCACATCAAGCTTCAAATCACCAAGCTATTCCGAGCCAACGAGAAATTCAATTTCACACACACACCATTATGCAAAACGCTTTGTTAAAGAAAAAAATAGAGGTACAACAGGATTCAATTAGACGGCGCCAAGAAAAGCATCCACAGTCAAATAATATGTTGTTGGGATTAAATGAAGTTGATATGCAACAGAAGAATGTTCAGCAAATGAATCTTTCAAGTAACATGCAACAGCAGACTACAGGAACACAACAGCAAGCTCATGTTTCGCACCCAATTCAACAACAACATCAACCAACTCGACATATTAATTCACCAACGCCATTGGCTTTCACACCAACATCGGTGTTGCGTAAGATGACTGCTGAAAAAGATAATTCGAACTCAAATGGAACAACTGTACATCATAACGCTTTAAATTCCGTAATACAGCAGCAAAATAAAGCTATGGCACAAAATACATTTATAAGTCCAACCAACAACCAACATCAAATGCAACAGCCTATATCTACTCAACCACGGATGATACTTGGTGGTAATCACACACAGCAACAACAACAGCAAATGAGTAGCAATAATCCGTTGCCGCCAAAACCCTTAAACCAGGCACCTCAGCAACAACCGGGCCAACCTTTACGCAATTCAATGGCACCAATGAAATGGCCGCTACATTTAGTAAATCAAAGTATCACTGCTATTAAACCAATGGGTAAGCATATCAGCTGTTTAGAAATGTGTGTGACAGACATCAGAGAAAGTGTCCAAAAAAACCTTAAATTAACTCTTTTATCTATTCAATTTAGCCAGATTTTACCACCCAAAAGTGTCACGGCCGCAACAAAATTCTCGGTGCAGCCTAGAATTAACTTTGCGAAAGCGAATCCATCAGCTTTTGATAAAAAACATTTTAGAACTTTATTTCAAAAACTTGCAGCACCGAAAACAGAAGTGTGAATACTACAGTAAATAAAAACTAAGCTTCATTCAAGGGTGTACTTAGAGACATGAAAAAATTACAATTTCAAAATTTTTTTTGCTATTAAATTATTTTGTTTTATAAATGTAAAACATAGTTAATGAGGTTTTGACTTGATTTCACAGAAGTTAAAAAAAAAAATAAAATTATTTTAAAAGTAATGGCGTTGATCCAGTTCCAACCGAAGCTCCTGACTATGGGTGCGTTCGAGATGGCAATCACGACAGCAGTGTTGCAAATTTGTCAAAGTATCACGTTCTGTGTAAATTCACCTCCATGTTTGTATTTATAACATTTTTCAATGGCACTGACTGAAAAAAACCATGACCAAAATTATGCAGCTAAAAGCAACGTAAAAAAATAGTCAAAGAGTGCGGTTGTGTTTTTAATACGCGTTTATTAGCTTGGGTTGTATGCATGTATGTAATGCATTCTTAGAGCTCAATTTTCACTTTTTTCCAGAATTCTGATCAACTTGAAACTTTGCTCACGTGTCAAGGACCGATGACAATGCAATAATTTGATAACAGTTTCCCATTATTTTAAAAGTTGGCGTAACCAAATTGGCTGAGAGGAAGTCCTTTTAGCATTTTTACATACGCTGTGGAAATGGGTAAAATCAGATAATAACCACGCCCACTCCTTATATTTATAACGGTTATGTTGAAAAATACTCAACGTGCGATAACTCACGAAACAAATGCGCTATATAAATTTCACAAACAAGATGGTAGGGAAGAGCTTTACCGGAGAAGGTGAAAAAATTGTAAAATGGGCGCAGCCTACCAACCTTTAGATTAAATCCCATAGCTCAGGAACTATCGAACTAATTTCAACCAAATTTGGTATGTGAGGTTACCCATTCATTCCTATATGAAAATAAGCGAAATTGTACGACTCTTAATCTATGCAGCTAAAAGCATCAACGATCCATGCTGTAATTTGAATAACAAATTTACATAAACGCATCCTTAAAGAAAGTGAAAAACTACATATGGCTAAATAATTAGTATGTTTTAAAATACTAATTAACATGCTTTTAAAGCACATTAAACTAAAAATTAAAAAATTAATATAGTTTAAAAAAATTAAAAAACACGCTCTAAATCACTTCAAACTAAAAAGGAAAAAATAATTCCTTATATAAACTGACAGAAATATTAACCTAAAAATACTTGTATTATTGTGAGAAAAGCGTGATGTGCTCGACATATAAAAAATATATCTCAAACCATCCCACGCTTTTCTCACAATAATACAAGTTTTCGGTCAATATTTCTGTCAGTTTATATAAGGAATTGTTCTTCACTTTATTTGAAATCAATTTACGTTAAGCAGCTCCTGCTAGCTACCTGCTCTCGAACGTTCCAAAGCGCCCGAGAACCCTTTGCTTATTGTCTAATAACTCGAAAAGTATTTTTCAGAGATCATTTCTAAGAAGATTATAAGATGTAAAGAAAATTCTAACTACCCATATATCCTTAATTAAGGGGGTATTCCAGTCTAGAGACATGAATCTTAGGTAATTTTTAAAGTGTAAAAAAAGGCAATCAATATTTTTAATATCGATATACAGAAAGAAATTTAAAAAAAGTTAAAAATATCAACAACTGGCAGCTGATGAAGTGAGGGGTCTCAAAAAATTGGCACATGAGCATACCAATGATTTCAACCCATTTCATTTGAAATGATGTCGCAATTGTATAAATTAGCGATAACTAAACAAATTTCGTTGACAAAATGGCGACTGTTTGAAAAAAAAAACGATTTTTTTTTATTTTCTCGTATTTTTTCAAATGGTTAAAATTGAATTTTGGGGATGAGGTCTATAAAGAAATGAGGTCTATCGAGAAATCGTGGGTATCGTATTGAAAAAGTCTGGTCTGAGAAAAACACATTTAAGTTTCGCGTAAAGTCTTTTGTTCGATTAAACCCAGCCGAATTATTTCTATACCTCCGAAAATAATTTAAATTTTCCCAACTCCTCTCGTAGGCATATTCTTAAATAAATAAACTTTGAAAATATGAAGAAAAAAATCGATTTTTTTAAATACTACACTAGAATACCCCCTTAAGATGAACTAACACGACACTTTGTCTATTACCCCTACTTCACTTACGTACTTCAAATTTTTCGAGAACATTTCTGATCTATTATGCTTAAAAAAAATCTATTTTTAAAAATTCTGACAACTCGTAACTTTTTAATTAAGATAAACTGACACTTTACTCTATTACATTGGATATTTGTATTCGTATGCAAACCTATCCATAATTACTTAATTCGCGATTAAAAATTGTTTTATCCTTGGGGACAACAGTATCTTATATTTTATATTTAATAGCAAATTTGTGAGTAAAAACCAATCAGGAGTAGGTGAAAATATTTGTAAAATTTTTCTGTTAAACTTGACTTTATTGCGTGTAGTATAGTTACGATTATAATATTAACTTATTTTTTTAATTGACACAGGCCGACCAATTTTGAAAGCTCCTTTACCCTTACAATCTGGAACTCAACAGCAAATGCCGCAGATATCTCAAATGATGTTTAATAAATTAGATTTTCAACAAGTGCAACAACACCGCTTGAAAAACAACCAGACCCCTCAACATGTTTTAAGCCAGTCTACACCGCCATTTTCCCAACACGCGATGGTGTCACAACAAGCACCAAATCACACTAACTTAATGCCTCACGTTCAACACCAACAACAGCTATATCAACAACAACAACAACAACGAATTCTAGCGCTGCAAAGGCATCAACAACAACAACAACTCCACCTACAGCAACACTTGCATCAACAACAGCCAATTGACACAACCAACCGAAATAGTTCGTTTAATAATTATTTTATCTATGTAATATATAACTTAAAAATTTCGTGTCATTGCAGTTTGTATGCAGTCCTCACTTGCAAATGATAGTAATGGTGTGATAAATAACGCTGCCGCTACTGCTACAGCCGCTGCCGCTAGCATAATAAATTATCAACGTGACGGTGGATTGTCTCCCACGAGTAATCAATTGGCGCAGTGGTTTTCGCCCGAGTTACTTGCGCAAGCATCTGCTGGAAAACTTCCGCTGCTCAATATGAATCAAGCGCTATGCCTAGAAGATTTCGAGAGAAATATACAGCATTCCTCAGCACCAGTGAGCAATTAATGTCACACGTTGGAAATATTATGTTTAAAGTTGTGTATAACTTGGGGAATCATGTTATTTTAAATATTTTTTATTAGATCGCTTGGTGGCACTAAATAATCAGAAAGTATATTCTATATGAATTTAGATTTAATTATGAAATTTTCGGAATTAAAAAGCAGAAAGTTTTTAATAGCAATTGGTAGTAAATAAAAATTTTAGTATAGCATATTCACGTTCTGTCATAATTATAATTATTATACCATATGCTTATGAAATAGTATCTCAATTATTGTAAATGAATTATTTAAATTTCAAAACGATTGTAGTTTATAAAGTGTAAAAAATATATTTAAATTAGATGAAGGCAAACAATAAAAATAAGAAAACCCGTAAGTATTTCACTTTATGATACAAATAAAAAATTTAATCAGCAGCTTAAACAGTTTGCGAAGTATTACTCACATACACACAGGCGTAGAACTCGGGACTTGACAGCGGGCAGTAAACACCCATTCACATATAACTTTCCTGGCTTTGTGTGACATTTCATACTCAACGAAGCGAAGATAAGATAGTTCTGATGTACTTAAGTAAAATTATAGTGAATGATTCTGAAATTATAATTATGATCATGAAATTAATTTCGCCTTCAAAAAATTACCAATTTTTTGGGAACATTTATATCCCAAGGAAAACTAAAAACCTCGTTTTTGGTTTATTTGCTTAATATTTATTGAAACCCGCCACTGCACACTTCATTTTTCAAAATCAATATATTTTATGCTTATAAACTTAAATAAGTACAACCTTCGCAATCACAATGTTAAAATAAGTTTATTTCACGAGTTAACAGAAGTATTTACGTTTTTGTTTACAATTAAATGTTCTATGCTTCTTCTCAACTTAAAAGAATTTCGTCACAACATGCGGTATAGTGCAATTTGTTTTTCTTTCACAGCCTAAACCGAAAAAAGTAACGGTAAATCAGTGTCGTAATCTGGTATTCCATCATTCTTGATGTGCACGTACTCATCCAAAAACGTACATCGAACTTTTCTGTCAAAACAAACCTTGGACCAAACCTCGTATCCCTAATACAATGATTTCCTATCATCTAGTTAATGTTGTCTTATATATATTATATATTTTTATGTATAAAAATCTTCTGTGTGTTTGTAATTGAACTTCTAAACGGCTGGACCAAGTTTGATGAAAAGTGATTCACAATTCGATCAACTAGACACTGTTTTAAGAATGATTTGTTTATAAATTATTGTTGAAATGCGCAAAAATCGTGTAATGGCACACAATTAGTAATAAAAAAAATCATGGACAACATTCTTGAAGCCACTATTTTGAGTATAAAATTTTAAGGTGAAGTTGTACTTCTGCCACAATGATTCCTTCATATTCGCAGATACCATTTAAATGTTCAGAATTTCTTATCCGCTTGGCATTTACGAATACTATTAATAAGGCACAAGGTCAAACAAAGAGGATTTGTGGATTAGATTTAGAAAGTCCGTGCTTTTCTCACGGCCAATTATACGTTGCTTGCTCGAGGGTAGGACAACCATCAAGGATTAACCAAAAATATTGTACATCCTATGGCATTACAACTTTAGTTTTTGAAGGTAATTTAATCTAAGAATAAATATTCGTTATAGAATAGTTTAAGATTCAACCTATTCACCTTCAATTAAAACGACTTCAAGGTTTTACTCAATACGGCTTCTACATTTGACATCTCTGAAAGCATACTAATACACATACTCACACGCTACTGGTCGAATTGTGATAAATATATTATAATCACGTTAGATATTGTTATAAGTATCTAATGAAAATTTTTATCAAAACGGTCTAATTGTAACAGCTAATTTCAATAAGTTTACATTTAAGACGTGGGACAACGTCTGTCGGGTCCGCTAGTGCATATTAAATTTAAACATTTTGGTTTAGTTTATATCACATAAGTGTATCTCATTTGAGTTAATTAGATTAGGTCAGGTTAGGAGGTCGATCCCAAGAAGGATACCACTTGGACAGCTTAAAACGGACTAGCGTTGTGATTCATTAAAACTCCTATAACCTGGATAAAAAGACCCTTACAAGTCGACAAAACGCTTTGTGCCTATAACAAACTTGTTAAAACGGCCAATATCCATTTCGGCTAAGTATTCAGGTCCGCCGAAAGTGTGATTGCAGAGATATTTCAATCTCAGCCTAGCGAAAGCCGGACAGTGGAGGAGAAAGTGCCGGGATGTTTCCACCTCCTCCATATAACTTTGGCAACTAGCATCGGGTAGTACTCTAAGCCGTACCGCATGAGTGCCCATTGGACAGTGTTCAGTGAGAACTTCTACCCTAGCGGCGAGATGCACTTTGCTCAGGGTGAGAAGTTCCCTCGACCTCCTGCGATCCACTCTTGGCCAGAAGGATCTCACGGTCGTCAACCAACGTCTGCTGAGTGCACGCGAGGTCCATTGATCCAAAGCCAGAACGCAAGACGTTAATGGAGATCCAACTCGATCCCATTCCGATGAGGGCGGGGCAAGGGTGTCTCCCTGGCTACCAAACGAGCCTGATGTTGAAGTAGCCAGATGCTATTTCTAGTGAGGACAGACACTCCTTGACTAGCTTTGATTGCACAGCTCGCGCGCTCAGAGCTAGTATTGCCGCCCTACTATCGGAGTGGATGCTCACTTCTCTGAACGAGGCTACACTACGTAGCAGTATTTTT